ACAATAATACTACAGATTCAAGGGGGCTCTAGGTATTGTTTTATATAATTAAAACAGATGGACTAATTTCCCTCTAAAGAATAACTGTAAATAATAAGTTTACAATTGTTAACTGTAAACAATAAGAAGACGACAACCAAATAGGATTGTGGGCAAAGGACAGACAGTTCATAGAAAGGGAAATATAAAAGGGAATCTTCTGTCTTTTGATCTCAGAAGACAAAAAGACACTTGACCTGGTTCATAATAAGCAAAATACAAATTTAAATTATGCTAAAATAACATTTCTCACTTGTCAAATTTCTCACTTATTATAATAGAATATCATTTATGAAAGATGTTTGAGTCTGACACCTTACAGGCAAAGGTGTGGGAAAAGCAGCACTCTCATACACTGCTGGTGGGACTGTTAACTGGCACAACTCCATGGGGGGAAATTTGGCAGTATCTATCAAAATTACAAAAGCACACACTATTTGAGCCAGCAATCCCACCTTATCCTCCAGACACATCTGCTTCTGAGAAATGACCCATGTTGAAAGTTGCTGGCTGCAGCAATGTTTTTAACAGTTAAACATGAACAGGAGACTAGTTAAATATGGTTCATCCATTCAAAGTGAAACTAAACAGGCTTTGTTTTTTTTTTTTTTAATTTTTATTTGATCTTTTTAGAGTCAGAGTGGCACTGTCACTCAGGCTGGAGTGCAGTGGCACAATCATAGCGCACTGTAATCTCAAACTCCTGGGCTCAGGCGATCCTCCCACCTTGGTCTCTGGAGTAGCTGGGACTTCAGGCACATGCCACTATGTCCAGCTAATTTTTACATTTTTTGTAGAGACGAGGTCTTGCTATGTTGCCCAGGCTGATCTCAAAGTCCTGACCTCAAGCAACCCTCCCACTTTGGCCTCCCAAAGTGCTGGGATTACAGGTGTGAGCCAACACACGTGGCCTGAACAGCTCTTAAAAAGGAGAAAGCCCCTGGGAAAAACACGAGGTGCTGAACATGTGCATAGTATTTATGTATTGGAAGGGCGGGCATGGACATTTTGTTTGTGTATACACACGCATAAAATATCTCTGGAAAAAGACACACAAAAAAAATGATAAAACTGTCTGTCTCCAAGGAAGAGAATCAGGTAGGGAGGCAGAGGTAGAAAGGAAAATTATCTTTGTATACTCTTCTTTACCTTTTAAATTTTGAACCAGGAGAGCACATTACTTATTTCAGGAAATTAAATTTTTAAAAATTAAAGAAAAAAATAAAACTAAATAAATAGCCAGTCAATTCAGCTGCAATTCTTAGCAAGCAGAAGCACCAAAGCAGAAAAGCACACAGCACTTATTCTTCAGTTCTTTTGCCAGCCCCTCCCTAAGATACAATACCATAAAAACAGGATCTAATTTTGGTAAATGTCTTCCTTTTACAAAATAATGTACATAAATGTCTTTCTGAAAAAAAAAATGAGTATTTTAATATCATATATAACTCTTAATGAAATATAGTTTCTCAAGTGAGCAACCTATCAGAATGCAATCACTACTGAAGTCAAGAACACACAGACTTTCAGAAAGAAGCTGCCGAGTTTTCCATTACCGGGTGCTCTGGGGCTCCTCATCTTCATCTCCGTGCATGAGGTTCTGAACTAACTGGAGAATGCTCACCATATCTTGGCCGCTGCAGAATAAAAAGAGTTGATGGACAGATGGGAAGAGCACACATCCTCACCATTCTCTTACTTATTCTCTCATCCAACTAGTTTTGGTAAAATGTCATTTTATATTGTTTTTTAAATTGAGTAGCTACAAGAGACACAATGTTTTGATATACAGTTTATACTTTTATAAAAACAAACCTCAAATTATAAACTGAATTCTGAATATAACCTTACTTGTAAGTAAAAAATCTTCTACCTAAATGAGTTTGATTTTTTTTTTTTTTGAGTTTGATTTTTTAAAATGTCACCAGTTTTGCCCTAGCAACATTTCTAGACATTTCATTTGAATCTTGGAGTAGAAGACAGAGAATATTTAATAAGCATGTAACAAGGGCTGAAAGTCCTTATAAGATGCTGGAAGATCACAGAAGCAGCAAGAATACTCCAATGCTACTGGTATATCCAGCTGTCCTCCATGTAGGCGTCTTGTCTGTTTGGAATAATTGCCTTAAACACATAATATAAGCATCATTTATTACCAGCTCTTCCCCACGGTGGGAAATTTGAGACCTGCTTAGAGCATAAAGAGATTTACTTCTACTGAACATATGTTACTAAATGCTCATTATATGAGTAGGTGGACACTTATGAAAAGAATGCAAATGGCTGTAGTAAGCAATGGTAAGGCACTTGCAACTCGTGTAATGTGAAAATATTGTCCCTTCATTAATGAGACTATGACTAATAAAAAGTTTCCTCTTTCAAAAAAAACAGCACTGTCAAAACAGTGCCCCCAAAACCTATCCCTGCCCAAAGTGCCCAAGGACCTTCATGTCTTTGAATACTGTAGGGATTAGGGCAGGCAGGGGGCCTTGAGGGATACTTGGATGCTTGCCACATGACCCTGAGCAAGCTACTTAAACTCACTTAATCCTGACATTATAGAATTGTGAGGTTGCAATCAGACAGAGCATTTAATGCTATGCCTAGCATATTACTAGTCTCAAATGTTGGGTATTAGCATCTTTAAGCATGAATACTCCTGATCAGTGGCTTTAATGTGCTATACTGAGAATTACAGATGTTCTTGGGAGTATCTCTTCTAGGCAAACTCCTGCAGAATCAGGACACTAAACAAACCTTAAGCCCTTTTGTTCCCTTCAGCCTGGGATGAGGACATTTATAGAATTTGCTTCCTGTTCTGAGTTGTAGGAAGCACTTTGCATCTCAAGGGCTTTATATCAGCACCATTTTATGCTACAAATAGGAGCATAAAATATTATGCTAATTTTTAAAGTATTAGTATTTGGGTGTGTTAGACGTGACATTTATTGGCACATTGTGAACCTTCCTCCATCCTTTTCTTTTGCAACCTTGTTCAATTTATAGTCAGGTCAAAGGACAACTTAAGGGAGTTGTACTGTTTACCGACGTTCAGTTTCCTGATTGTCAAAGAAAAAAATAATAAGTTTGTCTCAGGGAAGCTGGGCTGGGACATTAATTCCAGGTGACTACTAACATCTTGTGAAAATTTTAGTCAGCTACTTATTTTTCTGATATTTGCCCTGCTAGCTCAAACCACAAAGGCTTGACAGATTTGTTTCAGTTGCCAAAAATTAAATCGCTCGGCCAATAGATGATTAAAATTGACATTTCCCTTTCATTTATTATAAAAACGATAAATCTTGTCAAATTAAAATATCTCTCAGAATAAAATTCAGTCTACCAAAGCGATTACAGGTTTCGAGGATGAACTATGATACTCTAGTTATAAAGTCACACATCACTTTTGAGTTATGAGGTTGTATTAAATTCTGGATGGGAAAGGGAGAGAAGCCAGTAGGCTCAGCGTTATCACCGACCAGCCAATGGCATTTCAGTTTTCTAATGTTACACTGTACATAACTCTATTTAAATTTGCTCTGTCCTCATTGAAACTAACCTTGTAAATCAACGATAGCAAAATCTTGGTTTAAGAAAAATTTACTTCTCTTGTGGCTGATGTTAAAAAAAAAAAAAAGAAAGAAAGAAAGGAAGAAAGAAAGAAAAGAAAAATTTACACTGATCCTTACTGCTACCTACCTGCCCTGGAGTGGCCCTGGAATATCCCCTGATACGACCTTCTTTCCATTTTCCTCCTCTGTTCTTCTAATTTAAAGAAAAGAAAAACTGTTCATTTGCTTTATCATATCAAATTTCTAACGTCTGAACGCACAAACATGTGACCATGTTGCCTATAACCTCAAGTGACTGAGGTTACAGGATTTGAAACATTTATCTCCCTGCCTTCAGTTTTGCATATAGTTTGAGTTTTTGGAAAAGAACATGAATGAAAATTTCAACCCATTTTCTTTGTTACTTTGTTAGTTGATACCTTATATGACCTGAATATATAACAAGTATTTATAGAGTCAAATCAATATATTAAGTAAATGAAACTCTTAATAGAATTGAAAATTGTTAGGTCCTTCCCCTCAATTTCAAAATCCTTTAATTACAAGGCACCTTCTACCCAAGACAAATACCAATCTTAATCAGCTGACGCTATGAAGCTACGTGTGACATTTTGAAGGCAAGAGGTGTCTTTAACAGAAGGAAACCAGAGCTACCAGTTTCACAACAGGTTGAACACGTTTAACAGAGTCACCTCTGACTGTCCTCCAGCATCTTCATCGCCTCCTTCAAGTTTTTTCCCATTTCAGCTAATGTAGGGTCTGCTATCTGGGAAACAAATCGAAAAAAGGTTAAATTTTAATAATCCTCTATTACCTCTGTAACTTGATTCATCCAGAAAAATTATATGCAAGTCCACTTTCTTCTGGATTTATTATAAAGTACAAGGATTACACAGTGCATGCATGATTCTAAAACTTTAAACAATATAAAAGTGTAACAGAAAAAGGAAATACTACTTTCTACTACTATTGATATTTACTACTTTATGGTACATAATCAATCCATGTCATTATGCCCACCCCACTTCATTCTCCTTAGTGGTTGTATTTTATTCCATTCTATGGATGTACCATAGTTAATTTAGCTACCCCTGAATTAACAGACCCTTAGGTTATTCCAGGTTTTCACTATTAGAAGTTCCAGAAAAGTCTGTGCAGTATGCTATTTGTTTTACCATTGTAGTAGGCTGAAAAATGCACCCCCCCTCCCAAAAATAGTCACATCATAATTGCTAGAACCTGTGAATATTACCTTATATGACAAAGTTTTTGCAGCAGTGATTAAGGTAAGGCTCCTGAGATGGTGAGATTACCCCGAATTGTCCAGGTGAGCCCTAAATATAATCTTATGTATGAGAGAGAAGGGCAGAAGGAGACTTCACACACATGAGGCAGTAACAGGAAGACAGACTAAATAGAGTTTTGAAGATGCAGGCTTTGAAAAATTGGAGTGATGCAGCCACAAACCAAGGAAGCTGGCAGACACCATACACTGAACAGGCAAGGGAGGGACTCTCCCCTGGGGCCTCTAGAGAGAGTTTGGCCCAGTGCTGTGATTTCAGGCCAGTGATACTGATTTCAAACCTCTGGCCTCCAGAACTGTGAGAGAATACATTTCCATTGTTTTAAGCCACTCAGTTTGTGAAAATGTGTTACAGTAACCACAGCAAACTAGTACACTCATTTATATACAAGTGTCTCCTACAAACACACCGTATCTCTGGAAGCTACAGAAGCTGGGAATAGTGACTACCTCCAGAGAAGGAAGCTAGGAAGATGTGCACAGGGGTCAGAGGGAGTCTTTTCAGTTCACATCCCTTTGTTCCTTTTGAATTTTAGTACCATGTGTACATTTATATCCCATTCAAATGTAAATGAAATGAAAATTTTAAAATTTTTGCAGACTTACACACATTCATTTTCCTTTCTCTTTTTAATCTCTGTAGCAATTTTTTTTTTTTTTTTTTTTAAGAGACAGAGACTTGCTGGAGTGCAGCGCCACCATGATAGCTCACTGTAACCTCAAACTCCTAGGCTCAAGCAATTCTCCTGAGTAGCTGGGACTACAGGCATGCACCACCGTGCCCAGCTAATTTTTAAAAAATATTTTGTAGAGATGGGGTCTTGCTATGTTGCCAAGGCTAGTCTGGAACTCCTGGCCTCTAGGGATCCTCCCACCTTGGTCTCCCAAAGTGCTTGAGATTACAGGTGTGACCCATCACACCTGGCTTCTGCAGCAATTTTTAGGGAGAAAATCTTGTCACTTTGAATCTCTATATAGCATGAGTTGTGTTATAAAAAGTTACAGAAGCTCTCTCCTTTGCTCCCCTCTCCCTCTTCAAGTGTACTGCTTGAAGGAGGACCTGTCTTTATCTTTTCTCTTCATATTGCTTATTGTACCTAGTAGCATCTTACACAGAGTAGGTATGCAATTAAGTATGTATTACCTTTAGTGTTGCACTGCCTACTCAAAATTGTTTTTAAGAAATTCTAATCAGTTTGTCAATATAGGAATCAGAAAATGTTAAATTCTAGAAGAGACCTCAGGGATCTAGTCCAGGGATTTTCCAGCTGTGTTTTCCTGAGCTAGAAGACTTCCAGGAAGAACTCTGGGAAGAAGGGCTGGGTAGGCAGTTGGGGGTTCTAGCTCCCCATCCCCCATTATTAAGCAGATCACTTCTGTTTTATAATAGCGTTTTGAGTAAAGCCTTATTTGTAAAAAGTTTCATTAAAAAGAAAAAAAAGTACAGCACTGAAAACGTCTGATTCTGATCTAACATCTTAGAGGTGAGGGAACTAAGAGAGGTAAAGCGACTTGCCTGCGGTCGCCCTGGGTCCCCGACTCCTGCCTCCTGCCTCTGTTACATCACACTGACTTCCACAAGGGCTTACAGTAATCGTGTAGCCACATCTACTCTGATTTTCACACAAAGTATAAAAATCATTTTTAAATCGGAGTTGTTAATAAAATTCACAACGTAAATGTAACCATGAGAAAAGCTAAAAAGCAATCTATTAATAAAAGGCCTCAGTGCTCTCAGTTAATGATTATGACAGGGATGAGAAACAGATAATGGCCAAGAGAACTTAACTTCTTTAGTCTGCCTCACCTCCTGACACTCTAGAGTGTTCCCTACTATCTGGCCAAATGGAAAGATGAACAGTTTTGCTTGATCATTCACACCTCCATACCCATGCTTCTCACATCTGCCCTGTCTGAAACATCCTTGCGCTTTTTATCTACCTCTAGCTACCTATCAAGCACAAGTCAATATTTCCAAGGAAATTTTATGGATAAAACCATTTTCCCTCTTTCACATCCCCTCTATTGACACTGATGCCTTTTTTTCCTAAACCAAAAATTTGGACTCGTTTCCTGACAAAAATGGTTGTATTTATGGGGACAATGGGACAGAACATTTGCAAATGGGGCCATTCTGATACGCAACTGTCATTTATCCTCATGATTCCTTATATCCTTTACTGTGAACTGTTTTATAGATGTTCTATCCAGTATAGATATGCTCCCCAATTAGATCATAAACTTCCTGAAGGCAGAGGTTCAGACTCCTGCTAATTCTGACTTCTCTTATAGGACCAAGGATCTAAAGTCAGCTCAATCCTTAAAGATTGTCAGATTACCCTAGAAAATCCCTTAGGAAGGCGTACTAAATTGAATATGAACATACTGTCTCTCTATAAGTGAACACAGCTAATTTATCCCAAAGGATTGGAACAATTTCTTTCATCTTTCAGTTAATAGACAAATAGTTGACTTAGTTTAGAAGGCACTTTTTACGAACAATACATATTTGTATGTACTAACAAGATGCTTGGTTGTGGTAACAAGATCCTGCCTTACCGGGAAAGGCAGGAAGGAAATGCTAATTTTTAATCCCCCATCTGAGTCTCTTGCTCTAGAGTGCACACTCACTGAGCTGACTGACTGGCTTTCCTTCAAATTGTTCTCACTTCTACTATCTTTTGCAGGGTAAGCCTGGGCTGGGAGCAGGTGGTTAGGAAAGGTAGCATTTATAGTTAAATTGGGGTAAATTAAATGTGAATGTCCTATTACTCCAATGCTGCAGACTCTCATGTGCATGTTGTGTTAACTGGATGATCCAAAATATAAAGTGTTATCCAGGTTCAGGATAGTATTAGGCTCTAAACCAAGGAATTCTCTAAGAAAAGTAGATTCATTAATTGATCCCTTAAAACTAAAAACCGTGCCTACACAAGCTTCTACTGAGGGCAAGCCACTAACGTTCTTATTCACATTTCATATCCTCAGTACCTGCTACAGTGCCAGACAAGGTAGCCATATGATCAACGTTAATAAACAATGGCAAGACAACAGCCAGACACAAACCTAAATGAATGAAGAATTAAACTGTACAAAGATGCCTTCATTCAGTGTAGAGAAGGAGGCTGTTTTATGATACTGAGGGGAAACAATAGTATTCTATGTCAGGTTCCTAGGAAGAATGTCATATAATTTCTTTCTTTTCTTTCTTTCCTTTCTTTTTCTTTTCTTTCTTCTTTCTTTCTCTCTCTTTCTTTCTTTTTTTGGAGACAGAGTCTCACTCTGTCACTCAGGCTAGAGTGCAGTGCGCCATCATAGCTCACTGCAGCCTCAAACTCCTGGGCTCAAGTGATCCTCCTGCCTTAGCCTCCAAGTAGCTGGGACTATGGGCATGCACCCCCAT